CCATCTTAATGAGGTTGAAAAGCACCTAGCTACATTTGCAAACCTTCAGAGATAATTTGCATTAGACAAAGTGCTTGCCAACCAAATATGTGCAAGATATAAGCTCAGACATAAGAGGGTGACATTCATTTATCACTGCACCTTGCATGATCCAAATTAACCCTTTGGGAAGTATGAAAATATATATATAGCTGCATGATTGGCATACAGAGAAAACATCCTCTGGAAAAGGGGGCTCAAATTATGTAATTCCATACTGTGGCATTGTGTATTGTGTAGCGCGCCCACCATAAATCACTCAGGTATAAAGAAAGGTTCTTCTTGAGTTGTGCAGTAGGTTGCTGTTGTGGGAAAAATAGGAGGAGGAAGGAGTATTAGGTATGTTTGCCGCTTTGAGTTATTTATAAAAAATAATAAAGCGATAAAAACAATCTAAACAAATAAATTATTCTTTAATGCTGTTGCAAATTATTAATGCTATGTTCGCATGAAGTAGTTTGGTGTAGTTAGTCACTAGCCCCTGTCACAGTCTACTACCCAGCAATCCCGATAGTTTCTCATCCAGTTCTAATCTGATCAGATACTGCTTAATCAGTTCAATCAACTGCTGTTACTGCTAACAATGCAGAACCTCCCATAACAGCAAAAAGTGGTAGTATAATATGGACGTAGAGAACGTGGTTGAAGGTGGACTTCTGAGATCTTAGGGTCATGCCCCTACCCAGCTATGGACATCATGGGGCTATGTGGGGCAGTTTTTTTTTCCAGCTCAACCTTGTACAGGTAATCCTCAACTTGAGCCCAAAATTTCCATTGTTGAGCAAGACCGTTGTTAAGTGAATATTGTCCCATTTTACGACCTTTCTTGCCACAGTTGTTAAGTGAATCATGGCAGTTGTTAACACGTTTGTAAGGTGAATCTGGCTTCCCCATTGACTTTGCTTGTCAGAAAGTCACCAAAGGTGATCACATGATCCCGGGACACTGCAACTGTCATAAGTATGAGTCAGTTGCCAAACCTCTGAATTTTGATCACGTGACCCTAGGGATGCTGCAGCGGTCACTATATCACTAGAGAATTATATATTGAGACTAGTTTCTATAGTAATCAGCTCCAGGCTCTTGGATCACGAGGCCCTAACAGCAAAAAATACCTGGCTGCAAAAATCTGGATGAATATCCAATTTAACAGTACAGGACCACCCCAGATCCTATTAGTTTCTATCAACCAATTAAAATTAAATCCACAAAATGCATCCAATTATTTTAATATAGAAGAGAATATACTGTACAATGGTAAAGATAGGTATCTTTTTATCATAATAGTAAAAAATTACCTAAGAGGAGGGATTACTGTCATTAGCTTAATTTGGACCAATGAGAAATTAAAATCACATTTCAAAACAAGTTTCTAAAACAGTTGTAATCTTTTAAACTTGCCATTAGAGGTTTGAGATAAACCCATCAGAAATAGGGCAATTTTCCCCCTAAATTTTTCTTAATATTGATGTTTACTTCCCCTAGTAATTACCTCTTTCAATTGAATAAGCATGTTGAAATATGAAGGTAGCAGTTAAATTCTTCTGCAGCTATTTTCTCTCAGTATCTAGGGAAGTCTTTCTATTCATCTGAATTAAGTGTGTTCAGGAATGAGTTATGAAGGATATGTGCCAAAGAAATATAGTATTCGACACAATGCTTTATTGCATTGGACTCAAGTCTAAAAAACATATTTAATTTCAGTTAAAATGAAGAGGACCAGCAATAGCTTTCATTCCTATAACCATCTACTCTGAATTGACCTTGCAAGACCCCATCAAACATTCACTGCACAATAGTTGTGCAGTCACTTAACAAGTCAAAGTGCTCCCTTTGGTTTTAATCCTTTCCTTCTTTTCATGAAAAGAATAAAATTCAAGGCATTCATCTCCTAAAGGTCTGAGGCCTTCCTAAATCTAGCAAATTCCCTTATTTTGTAAACGATTCCCCTCTCCAACTTTCCAAAATTTCAAATTATATTGTGAATAAGATAATTTACATCATGACTGAGGCAGAATCAATTCTTTTCATTGGCTGACTCTGTTACAATGAATAGATTGACTGTCTGCCATTGATTGTAAACCCAGATATAATACTTGTATTTAACTGCTGAATTACATGATATTCTCAGAATTTGGTGCTCAGTCCTCTAATTTATACAGTATATGTGTTTATGAGCTCTCTCTTGCACAACACTGGAGGTTTTTAAGAAGAGATTGGACAAACTCATGTCTCCTCCCTGAGCAGGGGGTTAGACTAGAAGACCTCCAAGTTCCCTTCCAACTCTTGTTATTCTGAATTTTTGTTTGGCTCAATACCTCTATTAGTTGCGAATCAAGTTTGCATACAATTAAAATATCCTTCCTCAAGGCTGCCTTTTTGGGTGGGAGGGCTGGGACTTAATATCTGACTCAATGCACTTAATTGAACCCCAAAGATTCCTTATTGATAAGAGGTGATTCCTAAAAGTGTATCTACAAAAAGGTAGCTGCATACTGACACAGATGTATCTTGCAAGATGAGAACTTATATAGCACATCTGATGTGCTGCAATCGGGATCCAACGAAGTGTGCAAATGATTCCACACATTCAAGGTTTTGCATTTGTTTTCAAACAGTAATTCTCCAGGCCTTCTAACATCGTACGAGAAGCCACGGGCGTACTCAAAGGTGAACTTTCCATTCAGTTAAATTGAGCACTCCCAAGTCCGGGCGCAGCGCTTTCCATCCTTATCCCGGTTCCCACCTTCTCCTTTTCCAAGACGACCCATGGACCACGCTAAGATTTTTCTCTCCCCGCCCTCAATCAATCTCCTTCTCTGGGCTTCTAGGGCTGGCATGGCTAACGCTACGCAGAGCGATTTCCATGTGTTCGTCTGAGAAACTATAAGCATAGGTTCAGGTTCCCTCCCACTCTGGAAGTTTGAGCTTCCTACAACGCTGTGCTTTTTTTGACTGTTGCCGTCCCCAAGCCCGAGTGCCAGAGAATGGGGAAAAAATCCCTCCCTGCTCCTTCACACGACCTCACTCCGGCGCAGCCCCGGAGGGGGGAAAAAGGGGCAAAAGATCAGGATTTCTAGCTTGCTCTAAAACCTACATTTCACTAGACGTCTTGCAAAGCCAATGAGACGCTTCCGCGAGAGGGGGCGGGCTTTTCTCCCCCCCCCTACAAATAGAAAAAGAGCTGCTCATTAACCTGCCCCCTTTTGATCTTTGTCGACACAGATACCGGGATCTCCGCCCTCTTTTTCCTCTTCCTGCCCTTAACGTCAACGTTTCCTCCCCGGACCAATGGGAAGTTACATCTGCGCTTGATGGATCTTTGCCGTCCCCAATAGGAGCTGGGGATCGGCAAGATCCCTGCCTCCCCAATAGGCGGCGTCCCCCCTCCTAGCCAGGCGGGGGAAGAAGGCCACGGTTATCGATCCTGCTGCTGGTTAGAGGGAGGAGGAAGCGACACCAGAGAAAATGGCGGCCGTGGCTGCGACTGCGGCGGTGCCGGGTGATGGGGGAGCTGGCGAGGTCGAGCCCATGCCAGGCAGCGAAGCCGGCGCAGACGCGCTCCCTGCCGGCACGCAGGCTGCCGTGGAGTCGGCGGTGCTCGACGCCAGGGAGGATCCCGAGCCAGCCCCGGGCGGAGAGGCTCAGCAGCCGCCGTCGCCGCCGCCCAAGAGCCCAGCGGGGACCCGAGACCTGCCGCAGGCCCAGCCCAACCCGGGCCCCGTGGGCGAGCTTCTTCAGCCTCGCTCGCTCACGGCCACCCTCTCCGGCCATTCTGAAAAGGAGGAGGAGGCGGACGAGCAGCCCCCGCAGCCCGCCTTGCCGCTGGTACCTCCGCTGCTGCTTGCAGCTGGGGGCCCCGCGGGGCCGGAGCCCGGGGAGGAGCCGCCCCGGCCGGAGGAGGAGGAGCCGGATGCTGCTGCCGTCGCCGCCAGTACCACCACAAGCGTTGCAAAGCAACCGGAGCTTTCGGTGACTGTGGAGCCGGTGGCTGCCGGTGCAGCGGGGGAGGAGACGCTGTTGCTGCCGGGCTCAGAGGTGCTGGTCACCCTGGATCACATCATTGAGGATGCGCTGGTGGTGTCGTTCCGGTTCGGGGAGAAGCTCTTCTCCGGGGTCCTCATGGATCTCTCCAAAAGGTGAGCAAGCCTGCCCGGCCGCGCCCTGGCGCTCTAGTCCTCCCTCTCCCACCGGGGTGTTGAAAGGAGACGCATCGGCCGCTGCCCGGAGTGGCTTTGGACTCCTCTAACCCTCCGCTGCTGCCTTCCCCCCCCCCCCCTTATCTCTGCCGATTCCAGGCCTTTATCGCCTCCTGGGTGGCTGCACAGAAAGGTGGGGCGAGCCATGAGGTGCAGGGCTTTATGGCTCCGCCAAGGGGGCGCGAGTGGCCTTTCAGTGAGCCTCGTGGCCTGACTCGGAGCCAGGAAAGCCTCCCTTCCCTTTCCCACCTCAATTACTACTAGCCTTTGCTGACTTTTCATCCTTCGCTTAGTACAGTGTTTCTCAACCTTGACAATTTTAAGGCATGTGGACTTCAACTCCCAGAATTCCACAGCCAGCAATGCTGGCTGTGGAATTCTGGGAGTTGAAGTCCACATGCCTTAAAATTGTCAAGGTTGAGAAACACTGGCTTAGTATTAAGATTCATTCACTCCCAGTTTTTGCTTTTTCTGTAAGCAAAGAAGTGGTCTGTAAAAGAGGGACTGGAGGGTTGCTATCCATCCCACGTGGACTGGGTATATAATTTTCCTCATGCCTCCTGAGCTTGAGAGGATACTGGTATATGTTGTAGCTGTGCCCACTCTCCCAAAAAAGTCAGCTCACCAAACAATATACGTTTGTCCTACCTTATTGCCATAGATATTTCAGCATTCCTTCATTGGGTTATCCTTTCTTCCTAGCTTTAGAGTACTGCAGAAATGATCAGCTTTGAGGGGAAAATGATAGAATGTCTCCTGATACAGGTATACATATTTGAAAGCTACTGTGTATATAGCTTTCCTTCTTGCAGGCAGAATGAAAGCTGCACTTATTTGTATATTGCAAAGTAACTTGTTCTGGCACAAGCATTTAATTTTTCTGGTTTTGAAGAACTTGCATCAGAGCATTCTGTGAAACACCCTTTAATCGAGTTCATCAGGTAAAGGTATATTTGTAAACATTCCCAGTATCATCTACATTATAGCTTCTTTGGAAAAGATTTCATGCTCAACTGTATAAAGAAAATACATGGCATTGGAGGAAGCATCTTTTTTGTCTTTTCCACAGTATAGTTGATTAAGGAAAACCAGTCAAATGCATTCCTATTAGTAAGACTGAGCCTGTTCCCTTATTTACAAAGAAACAACAAAAGATTGTACTCTTAAATCTTCATCTAATGAATCTGAGGTCATACAGCAGGATTTCTGAGAACTTTGGTCCATGCATCAATCTTTCAGTTCTAAAGAGGAAGATGAATACTGTCAATTTATACCATAAAGTTCTACATTTTTAAATTCATTATTGTGGGTTAAGTATTTCCAGGAACATTGTATAAGTAATTGATTTGATGCTTAAAATTGTATGTCCTGTAAAAGGAGCCTTATGAGATACAAAAGGGCTGGGAAACCTGAAACTTTAAAAAATGGTGGGAGGAACTTTGGCAATTGAAAAAGATAAAGCTATTGGGGCCAGTAATCTTTTAAAATTGTAATACTGCATATTAACAGAATGGTTAAGAGGATAACAAGATGGATGGTTTCAATTACAGTAGCAATAGGTGTACCCTTGGGAGTCCTTAAGAATCAGATTGGGGACACATCATCCTGGAGAAAGTCTGTTTATGTGGTTGCTAAGAGTCAACACTGACTTGATGGCATGTAATCACTCTAGGATGCATTTTTTATATATCTAATATAACTATCTACTAAATTTCTGGTATATACTAAAATTGCCCAATAGGCATATAGAATTTTTGGTATTGGTTACTGTCTGATAGTGTATGACCATTTTTACTGCCTTACAAATATACAGTAGGTAATGCTATTTCTAACCTCTGCAGAGTACATAGTAAGCAGATTATAAAATGTAATTGTATTATAATTATGCAACGCATGTAGCTATAGCAGGGGTGTCAAACTGTCGGCCCGCGGGCCGGATGTGTCATGGTGAAACCACGCTCACCCCATTGCCGGCAATGGAAAAAAAGTTGCAATATGTCACGACATGTCATGTGACTTTGCGAGTTTGACACCCCTCAGCTATAGGAAGGCTGGTTCTTGTAATATTTGAGAGACTGGTATAATGAATTTCCAATATAGACATCTTCATAGTCCACAAGGTATTTAAAGGATATATAGAACTGATCATGTACTGCCATAGATATCACCATATGTTTTCCGTGACAAATACACCACATATGCTTGTTTCAAATTCTCAAGTCTGTCAGCCCATTGATGCTAGTGGGAGGGATATTCTGGCATCCATAGCAGTCTAGGACCTAATGTGCTTGTGTTTTTCTTTGATATATAGCCTTAATAGATCTGGTAAAGTGTCTTACCTTACATTTTGTTTTGCAGGTACTATGCAGAACTGAAATAGGGTTGGAAAACAGTTAACATCAGTGCTGTTGGTTTAACTGGATAAAGTGAAATTCAATAAAACAAAGTAACAGCAAGTTGTTTCACATATCAAGCATGTATACTGCATACCCTTAAACAGTGTTGTATTAGTAGCTTGTCTACTCTCTGATGTTTCTAGAGCTATCATTAACATTCTTCTTTAAGAAAAAATGGGAAACTGCCTCTTCTCTTGCATAGTTGATAAGCCACTTGATACAGGCATAGATAGAAGGTGTTATTGTTTCATTTACTTCAGTACTTCACAGTAGTGCTTTTTGAGCTTCTGTTATATAATGGATGGATGGATATACTCATACATATACACACACTGGAGAAAAAGGATAGGGGAAGAAAAGAATGGGCATGCTGCTTTTAATCTGGTTGGCAAATTTGAAACATGTAGTTTCAAAGTAAAGCACAAACATCCATTAGCAGCCTGGAAAGATTGCTTCCTATTCATTTTAGCTTTCTTATTTTGTGCACTTATTGGAAAATAAGTAGTGAATGCAGTATTCTTAGAAATAAACATTATGCTGGATGTTAGTATTTTGCTGTGTGTAATGCACAACTACTTTACATGAAAGAATCTTTTAAAATAGTGGTGCAGAGCTGATGCTAAGAGAAGTGTTTGTGTGTTGGTGCTTTTAGTTGCTAGGTGCTAGTGAAATCTGGAAATAGTTAACATAGAATACAGCTTTGCAGTTCTATACAGGATTATAAGAAAACATGACCAACATTTAACATTTTCATGAAGTGTATATGTTTACTTAAAAATCAGTAATGTTAATGTGACTGTAACAGACATTGTTATAGGGCATCATCTTACAAAGCTAAGTTACAGACTTGTTTATCATGGTCGGTAAGGCTCTTTGGAATTTGAAGATTCTGTGCCTAACATCCATGTAGTTTATAAAATGATCTTGTATTGTTGAAATTCATAGTAAAAATGACTTACATTTCAATGGTGATGATATCATTTAGAATGAGTATTGAATTACCCTTCCTTTTTTGTCCATTGAGCTGGTGAGAATAATTTAAAAAAAGGCTTTTGTTGTTGTAAGAAAACTTTCCTGAGTGGAAGTCATAGTGAAGATTTGCGTTCAAAATGTGTTATGGTATAATGAAAAGGTGAGCAACTATTTGATAGCTGGAGCTGCAGTATGCTTGGCAGAGGAATGGACAGAACTATGTGGCATGTATCTGTGAGGTCAGGATTTTCTGAGTTTTGAGTAGGAAGTTTTAAGTTTTTCTTCTAAAAATTAAGCTCTGTCATTTTTAAGCCTACTCTGCAATTTTTATCCATTACTTGCCTCAAACTGATAAGAAATTTATGTTGTCAATTTTTGACAATTGTACAGTTAATCCTTCTTACTGCAACAATTGAGACTAGAATTTCAGTCACTAAGCAGTGTGGTTATTAAAGAAGGCATCACATAACCGAACTTGGTTTTACAACCATTTTTACCCGTTGTTAAGCAAAACACTGTGGTTGTTAATACTGTGTTTCCCCCAAAATAAGAACCGGTCTTTTTTTTTTTTTTTTTTTGGCCTCCAAAAGAGGCACCGGGTCTTATTTTTGGAGGAAGTCTTTTCCACTCACCTTGCCACCGCGGCACCAACAGCCTCGCCCAGCCAGCCCACTTCTTCTGCAGCCGAAGGAGCAGTTTCATTCTGCAGCTGAGAATGGAGCTCTGGCCTGCATTTCACCGTCCGAGACCTTCTGGAAAGGCCTTTGCATCCGAGAACTGAGCTACGGATTGAATCCGTAGCTCAGTTCTCGGCTGCAGAGGCCTTCCGGAAAGGCCTCTGACGATGAAATGCAGGCTGGGGGATGCTGCAGAAGAGGTGGGCCAGTGAGGAGAGGCAGGTGTTGATTCATGGGAGGCCTGGTAAGTGGGTGCAGGGCACATGAGGCAGTTCCACACCCCCGCCCTAGCTTGATTTTTAGGTATGCGCCTCGCCCCGAAATTAGGGCTTATTTTGGGGGTAGGGCTTATATTAGGCCCACCCCTCAAAATCAAGCTAGGGCTTATTTTCAGGGTAGGCCTTTACTTTCAGGGAAACACAGTAGTATCATACAGTTGTTTAGCAAATCTGGTTTCCCCCCACCGACTTTGTGGAAAGCCATCTGGGAAGGCCACAAATGTTAATCATGTGACTGCAAGATGTGGCAACCATCATAAATGCAAGCTGGTTGACAAATTCCCAAATTGTAATCACGGGTTGGCGCAATAGTCATTACTTCAAGAATACATAAGTCACTTTTTTTGGTACTGTTGTAACTTTGACCCTTAGTTAACCAAATTGTCATAAATCAAGGAGTATTTATAGATGCATTCAGGTATATAAGATTATAGAATTTTTATATATTATTACCATGATGATTAGGGTTAATATAATCAAAGAATGCTATAACACTGTCTTTGTGGAAGACTTTTTGCCCACTTTGCCTTCTGCATATGTTCTCTAAATCAGCTTGGGATGAAAAATGCTTTCTGCATGATTCAACCCAGCCTAACTATGTCCGGCCAATTGTATAC